TAAAAAGTAAGCCCTATTTCATTTGCTTTTTTAAATATGTAGCATCATTATAAAAATTGGTATTATAATTGATACAGCGGCATGCAACTTTTTTGCTTGGCATTGACCAAATTTACCAAACGCAAGCATGAAATTTTTTTGGCTAAAAAAATGGGAGAAAAGAAACTGAATGAAATATCACCATTAATAACTTGAAAAAATTAACAAATATCCTAATATTACATAGTTTTGAAAAGTTTGGGATGAAAATTAGATGCTTTTAAACATTGGGGTGTTTTAGATGGTGTGGCTCAAACCTTGGGATTAAAAGACCCATTCTCTCTTTTTTTAATTTGGTTGAAATTTTTTTAATTCGATTAGGCTAGGGTCTCGTTGACCCTGGTCTAACTGGTTTAAAAAAATTTAAACGGTTAATCGTTTCCTGGCGCAATGTAGTCCTTAACCTATAATTGAAATGCTTAAAAAACACAACAAGATTTTTGCACAATTTTGCATCAAAATAAAAATTCAATAAATATTTTCTGTTGTGCACCGAATAACGTACAATACAATTCTATAAAACTGTAATGTTCATCCTAAATTCAAATGTCTTTCATTGGAAAAAAATATTGTACAAATATGATATCTCATCTTCTAACTACAATGTTCACTTCAATGAAATGAATGTTCATCCTCCGAAACTGTAAAGTTCATCCTATGTCTGAAGTTCACTGCAAAACGGCAAAGTTTATCTCAGGAAACTTGATGTGCATCCTGTACTATCTTGTGCTCATCCTGTAAAATTATGATGTGCATCGAGACCTGCATTTTCGGTTAATCACACGAATAAGAAAAAAAAAGTATAATAACAAAATAACTATTGTTTACAAACCAACGATAAATGTTCATAAAACAAATTGTTCAAAAACAAAAAAAACAAATTCATTAAAAGTAAAATATTGTTGTCCAGGCCAACAAATGTTCAACAAATTTATTTAATGCACAATGCTCATCTCACAGAACTACAATGCTCATTTAGTAAACATAATTCATCAAAAGTAGTTCTAAAGACAAAAAAAAAACCATCAAAAACTTTCTGAATATTGAAATTCATCAAGTTATAAAGAAAATTGTGGTTCACCTTCAATAGAAACGACTTCATCAAATTCTTCCGCATCAACAATGCGTTCATCTTCTGATTCTTCACTTGAATAAGGGACTATGACACAAAAATAAGGAACAGAAGACATTCCTTCCGAACATTGAATAAGGAATGTGATCTAATTGCTCTAATTGCATCAACAGCTCAACAGCTCATCTACAGCTCTAATTGCATCATAAGTTTATCTAATAGTCCCTTATTTAATCAGAAGACATTGAATAAGGGACTATGACACCAAAATAAGGAACAGAAGACATTCCTTATTTTGTTTATCATAAGTTAAATAAGACATTCTTTGATGACATTCCTCATTCAATGTCTTCTAATAGTCCCTTATTTTGTGTTTGCATTTATTGCATTATTTTGTTTATCATAAGTTAAATCAGAAGACATTCTTCTAATTGATTTAATCAGAAGACATTGAATAAGACATTCCTTCTGCATCAACAGCTCTAATTGCATCATACGTTTATCTAATTCCTCTAATTGTCAATATTTTCGTGCACATTGAATTTTGTGATTTGTGAAGGGAATTAATAGTACTTAATAACAACATATAATTAAGAAAGTTCATACAAACTTTAATAGAAAAAAAGTCTAATGAACAGGTTTGGTGAATATTATAGAAGTACAAAAAATCACAGTAGTGTTCCTTGGACCTCAATAACATTTCATTTACGGAGTCTTTGCAGTTTTCAGGTCCATCCACGTTACTAAACAATATCACTGATGATGGGAGGGATTCAGATGATGATGTTACTATTGATTTTGATCGGCCTGAACCTGATGTGCAGATCAAAGATAGCTTTTATGCGTCAATGATTCAGTCATGGCAAAACGTGGTGGTAGTGAAGGTGATGGGGATTGCCCGAACTCCTTAATTGCTTTACTCCAAATTGACGGCTTTATGGCCTTTTATGCAAGGCTGCAATATGATTGATTTGGAGAATGGCTATTTCCAGATCCGTTTCAAATCAAACGAGGATGCGGTGAAAGTGCTGGTTGGTGGCCCGTGGGTAATTATGAAGCAATTCTCAAAATTTTACCTTCATGTCACTCCAAAAAAATGAGCTATAAGGACACTTTTATTGGGACGCTTTACCTAAAAGCGTCCCAATAGACACATAATAGACATATCATAAAAACGTCTTATTAACATGATGTAATAGGACACTTTAAAGTGTCCTTATAAAATTTTTTTATTAGGACGCTCAAAGCGTCCTGCTATAATTGTGCGTCCTAATAGACTAATGTGACAAGACACTTAAAATTGTCCTTATACTAATTCTAGTAAAAGACTCTTAAACTTGTCTCATTATTATTTAATAATTAATTATCAACAAATAATTTTGGATTAAGCAATATGCAAACATAGAGACTTCAAATGTCATACTTCGCAAAAATTGAGGATCTATTTGTGTTTTTAAATTGAGACTTCTAATTACATTATAGCACCATAAAAATTAAAAATTGTCTCCAAAAAGAATGAAAGGACTTTTAAACTTATAATAATAATAGTAAGACACCCTAATAGTTACATTTTTATCCTATAACATTTTTTTATAATGATGTACTAGTATTTTATTTTATTTTGGAGTAATTAGATGTGGCATCGATCTATAATATGTGTATCATGTTTCCATCTATTAATTTTTGTATGGACTCTAACTTATTTTGGAGAATGGATATGTGTATAATGTTTATATCTTAAATATTTTACACTACATGTGATATGAGTATGAATTCCAAAATAAGTGCAGTGTCACATATTATAATTCAATAAAGTTTTACAATTATGTATTATTTACGTACTGTGAAGTGTTGTAAATAATTTGGAGTAATGATTACCATGCATTAATCGTAAACCAATCAATGTCCTATTTCACTATCTATTTTCACAGTATCTACCATTTTTCCTAACTTTATTTTACCCAATCTTAAGAAAATTATTATCAAATGACAATGTGTAAATAGTGTAAAAAGAATGTTAATAAAAATGCATTGAAATTATAAATGACTTCAAAACCTAAACATACATGTTACAATATGATCAAGTTAAATTAATTATTTAACAATAACTTCAGATATCTTAATTTACAAATCATACTCTTGTTTTCTTAAAAAGTCAAAATTGACTATACAATATTAAATTTAAACACATTACACTTCAAGAGAATATTGGTTTTCGTAAATTTTCCATCTCATCATATATAATATGAAATTTGAACTCATTAATAACTCAAATTTGTGAGATGTGATTTTTTTTTTCAAAATAATAATACTTAAAGTAAACGACCGTGTTATTAATTTTTTGTAGTAATAATAAATAAAAAATGACTATTGAAATATGATAACGACAATAATAATTTTGCCACTTATTAAGGGACTTTCATTAAAAATAAAATAAATAACACTTCAAATATTCTTTTTTTAAGAAAGCAACATGGGTCTGCCTAAATTAATTTTGGAGGGAGTTTTTGGCCAAAAACATGTAGGGGGAAAAAGGCCCGCTCTTCACCAAAATACAACATTAATTTTATTATTATTTTTACATAGGATAAGAAAACCCAAATGGTCAATAGTCAACACTTACGCAGGAAAAAAAACCTCACAAACGCCTCTTCCTCTAAGCTCTCCCAAAAGCTTCCATCGTTTTTTCTCTCCTCCTCTCCCAGACCAATGGGTAATAATCCTCCGTTATTCTTGCTGATCTAGGATCGGATTTTTGTAGATCTAGACTTATCGATTTTTGGGTTCCATTCGATTTAGTTCATAGATTGGATTTTGTTTTTGTCCCTTAGGTTTTTTGCTTTTCAGTGATCGATAAACAAAAAGCCGATTAGAAATCATGGATCTGTTCGGTGGATGTCGGTGTCCTGATGTGTAGGGCTGGCAAGATTGTAAGCGGAGGCTAGCAGAATGTGGATTGCACGGCGGGAAGGTAAAATAGATTGCTGCAGCTGAGGGAGCGGGGACGTTGTTGAGGCGGATGTGATGCGGAAAATTCATCCTCTATATTCATCGATGTGAAGGTTTGTTTTCTGTTCACTCTGATTTGTGCTCTGGCCACTTTGTTAACTACAATCCTTTTTGTCTGGTTTTCCTTGTTCCTTTTTTACCCCAAATCAGATCCAAACTAAAATATCAAAATGGAAGAGTAAGCTAGGGAAGTGAAACCGTGGGTGGTAGAAGGACTATGGTGTAGTAGAGTTCCACTTGTTGCTTCTACTCAGTTTCTTGAAACTATGCTCCTTACCTTCAATCTACGAAGCCTTGAATTTTTTTTCGCTTGTTAGTTCTGGGTTTTGGTCCTTTTGTTATGAATCTAGGTATTTGAGAGTTAGAGAAACGAGAAGTAGAACTTAAACTTGAAAACGTTGGACTTTAATTTTAACACTACAAGAACTGAAGGAACTTAGTTCGGCTTGATAATATTGAACTTGGTCCAACATTAGAATGTGCAATCTTTCAGAATTGATAGGTAATGAATTACATGTACGGTTTTCATGAAATTGGAAGCAAGTTTAGCTTCGATTTGGCAAATTTCGTTCTTGAGATCTTGTTTTGTACAACCTTATTTTCTATGTTGTGTTGTTGATTAGATGGATTTCTTGATTCATAGATCGTCTCTGTTGATCAAGGTTTATGTCGAACTTTACAGATCAAGGTTGTATCTAGGAATTAGACAAGATTATTATTGTTGGCTATATCCTTCTTTGTGATTTACTTAACACCCGAATGTTAGAACTTAGAAGTGTATTTTTACTATCCCTTAGATATGCTTATCTGGAAGCTTTTATGTGCAGGATGATAATGATAACATTCACTGAATTGAGCTGTTGTTTTTCTCTGCACCAGAATGCATAGTATGGTAATGCTTTCATGATTCAACAGCTGGCTACACAGAAATTAGTAACCAAGCTTGGCAGAACTATGATGCCGCTCAAGCACCGGTTTAGATTGTGCTAGTATATCTTCATTGGCTATGTAAGATAGAAACAGAGGTTTTTGAGACTCTACTTATTGTATATTTACATATCTAGTAGAATGTTTTGATATTTTGGATGTTAATACGTATTTAGGGAAGATTATGTGCAGGAATTAGAGCAGATTATTATTGTTTTTTTTAATAATTTTTTGACGCTTGGGACGTATTTAAGTGTCCTTTCAGAAGATAATATGTTGAGACATTTGAAAGTGTCCCAATTGGTGAAATTTGTTGGAACACGTTTAAGTGTCCTTTTAGAATACGGATTTGTTAAGTTGCTTAAAAGCGTCCCAATTGTAAATTCTTATTGAGACGCTTAAGCGTGACGGGACGCTTTTTTCTGTCCTCGGATGTATTAGGACGGGCTACTTCAAGACCTTTATGCAATTGTCCCGAAATCGTAAGCATCCCGAAAGATGGTCTAAAAGGACGCTTAGCGGCGTCCTAAACGCTTGTTTTTTTTGTAGTGTGTGCAGCCATGGAGTGAAGATTTTGACGAGAACAGTGACCAGATCAAGTCGGTAGTGGCGTGGATCCGTTTGCCGGGCATGCCCGTTCATCTCTATTATAAAAAAGTATTTCGCAAAATTGGAAAAATAGTCGGTAAGATAGTGAAAATTGACCACCAAACAGCTGCTCAAACTAGGGGTAAGTTTGCGAGATTGGCGGTCGTCCTAGATTTGACAAAGACTGTGTGTGCTAGATTTACGATTCGGGGCAAGAAACAGCCGGTTGAGTATGAGTATCTTCCTAACATTTGTTTCCACTGTGGGCATTATGGGCATGCTACCATAAGTTGTCCGGATCGGACTAGCAAAGGTGAAGTGCCTGATGGAAGTGGAATTGGAGGAGGCGGGGCTGTTGATGATCGTGGGAAGGGTGGTGCTGCATCACCCCATTCTAATCAGGAAATTAGAGTTGAGGACTCTAACGGCCATAATAAGGGAACTATGGAAGAGGAGAGTATTTATGGACCATGGTTGCTTGCTAAACCTACGGGAAGGCCTTCCTTTTGGCGTAATAAGGTGGGAAGTGATGCAAATCTTAATAAGCATGGAATGGTTCCGAATCAGGTTCTTGATTTGACACCTTGCATTCACTGAAGGAAGTTGAGGAGGGGAATAAGTCAGCCCCTCTCAACCTGGAGGTGAGGGATGCTACTCGTTTCCAAGTTGGGAAGGATGATTTGAGGGGGAACACGAAGGTCGGAGCAAGGGAGGCAAGGAAGAAGGGGAAGACAAGGAAAGAGGATGAATCGAGAGTTGTTGGGGATGTTTGGAATGGGAAAGAGAAAGAGATTTCTACTCCTTTTGCTAGGATTGGAAGTCAAGGGAAGGAAACAGGGAATTCTACGATTACGGTGGGAGAGGAGCACTTCTAATGTGCATAACAGGGGGTTGCATGTGGAGAATCGGAGGGGAATCTTGGGTGAGAATAATGATATTGAAGGAATGTTGATGGATGGTGGGTCCAGTTTGTCTCAAAGAATGAATCATTATGTTATTCCAGTAAAAATTGGACTTGATCCAACAAAGCACCAAGCTGTGATGATCATAGACAGTCCAACACATAGTACTCGTGATCATGATCAACCAAATGATTTTGACCCCGGAGATGATTTTATGATTGAGGTCAGTCATACTAGAGATGTTGATTATGAAGCCATGGATGGATGAGATAGCAAGCGACGGTGTCTTGCATTTTCACAAAAGGATTATTCGAGTTATCATGAGCTCACTGAGTAGATACTGGGGTTTGAAACTACAACATGAGCATGAAGGTCCGAAGTTTGGGTATGATGTTTTAGCACAAACTGTTCCTTTGTTTTCACTTCTTTGGAAATTTGATTTGGTCGACGTGTGTAATAGTTTAGTATTTTAGGCATTTGCCTCCTTTATTGTACCAATAATAATAATAATAATAATTTCACTGAACATATTTATTATTATTACTGTCCGGTTTACATTTACATTTTGCATATACTGAAAATAAAAACCCAAACAAGAAATCAGATGTGGTATTACGGTATTATGTTTTACTTAGGGTTTTGTGTAGTAACTAATTGTATTTACTTAGTTACTCATACGGTTTAATTAATGTAAAAACTGTATATAAGAAACCCTAAACGCTACAGACGGCAAGAAACGTTTGGGCCACTTCTTCTATTGTCTTCTTCGTCGGATTATTATCTTGTTATGGTATCAATTACAGGGTTTTAAAACTTCCTGTTGCCATGAGTAACACCGATGAAACTTCTGGCTCTAAAACCGTGGCTACCAATTCCGATAAACGTCCGGTTGGTGAGCCTTCGGATGAATCTGTTGTCCGCCGCCGCACGATCTCCCCTTATGACATCACTGAAAATGATGGTCCCGGCGCCTATCTCACTCAAATTCAACCCAAAGGTGAGAGCAATTACGCCGAATGGAGTCGTTCTGTCAAGTCGGCTTTATGGGGGAAGAAAAAATTTGGTTTTGTGAATGGTTCGATCCCAGAACCAGATTCTACTTCGCCGGACTACGAAGATTAGAGGGCAATCAACTCGTTGATTTGTCCCTGGATCATGAACACCATTGAGTCCAGTCTTCGGTCGACGATTACTCAGCCTGAAGTTGCGGCTGATCTGTGGCTGGATATCACCAAAAGATTGACTCAAATCAATGGTCGACGCATTCAACAACTGAAGGCTGACTTGGCTGGTTGCCGGCAGCAAGGGTTGTCAATGGCCACGTACTACGGTCATCTGAAGCAACTCTGGGAGGAGCTTGGCACATACGACAGTTTTCTAGTCTGCTCGTGTGGTCTCTGTCAGTGTAATCTGGGTTCCGTCTCCGACAAGAAGCTGGAAGAGGAGAAGGTACATCAATTTCTTCTCGGCCTTGATGATTCTTTGCACCGGACGGCTCGCTCTAATCTCCTTGCTCAGGATCCGTCGCCAAAACTGAATAAAGTCTATTCTACCATGGTTCGTGAGGAAAGAATGCATCAGATTACTACATCTAAAGAACCGTCTGCCGACATGATGAGTTTTTCTGTTAAAGCCGGCGTTCCAGTTTCCGTTACGCCTGTTTCAGCTCCTGATGCTTCAGTTTTTGCTGCCTCGACGACTCCTATTTCCGGCGGACGATGTGCAGCAGGTAAAACGTTGTTTTCTACTCACTGTAACCGCCCTAACCATTATATTACAACTTGTTTTCAGTTTCATGGTTATCCCGAAGGCTGGCCTGGTTGCGGTTGCGGTTGCTGTTGCGCTTGCGCTTGCGGTTGCGCTTGCGCTTGCGGTTTTGGGCGTGGACGTGGAGCTGGGCGTGGGCGTGGTGCTGGTCGCGGCGCCGGTTCAGGTGGTATGGTGAGTTCTAATTGTGTCGGTTCTGCTGGTGCTGCATCTTCGAACACCTTAGTTCGTTCTCCTGGTGGTGTTGAAAGTTTTGGCGCCATGGAGCAAGCAGCTGGTGTGACGGGTTTGACCCAGGATCAGTGGAACACGCTTCTTCAAGTTTTGCAAACCAGGAAGAATGCTCCATTCGAAAAGCTTTTTGGTACGGTCTAATTTTTGGATGTACGACTCCGGTGCTACACATCTTATGTCTGGAAGTTTGGCTTATTTTTTGGATGTTCGTGATATCATTGGCATTCCTGTTCAGCTGCCTAACGGACAATGGACCATTGCTACAAAGGCAAGAACCGTCACCCTTAGCCGCAAAGTGCCGCAAAGTTATTTTGACTGATGTTCTTTTTGTTCCCAGTTTGATGTGCCATTTAATTAGTCTCACTGTTGCTCCACGATTCTCCTTGTGTTGCCGATTTTAGTGATGATTTGTGTGTTGTACAAGACCGCGCTTCGAGGATGCTGATTGGAGCGGGTGAGTAACGAGAGGAGTTGTATTTCTTCCGGGCTGTGGAGACTGCTGCTGGATCAGCCACCGTTGGCATTTCATCTTTTGAGTTATGGCATCAACGGCTCGGACATCCTTCTCCTGTGGTCCTTCAGTTTCTTCCTTCTGTTAGTTCTAGCACGAGTAGTTGTTCCATCAATAAGGCTTGTGATGTATGTTTTCGAGCCAAGTAATCTAGGACGAGTTTTTCCCTTAGTACCTCTAAAACTCAAGCTGTATTTCAGTTAATACATTGTGACTTATGGGGTCCTTATAGAACCCCTTCTTTTTTTGGGACTCGTTATTTTTTGACGATTGTGGACGATTTTTCTCGTGCTACGTGGATTTTTTTTGTTGGCTGATAAGAAAGAAGTGTCTTCTACTTTGTGCAATTTTTTTGCTATGGTCAAGCGCTAGTTTGATACTTCTGTTAGATCTGTTCATAGTGACAATGGTACTGAGTTCATCTGTTTGTCTGGATATTTCCATACGAATGGTATTTTGCATGAGACTTCTTGTGTCGAGATTCCCCAACACAATGATCGGTGGAACGTAAACATCGGCACATTCTAAATGTTGCTTGTGCTTTGCGTTTCCAAGCTAAGCTGCCTATTGAGTTTTGGGGTGAATATGTGTTAACCGCTACCTATTTGATCAACCGGACTCCTTCGAGTGTTTTGAATGCGAAAACTCCTTTTGAAGTTTTGTATGGTCTTTTTTTGCCTCATTTACGTGTATTTGGGGTGTTTATGCTATGTTCCGATCAAAATACCCGAGGTGATAAGTTTTGCTAGCCGCAGTCCTAAATGCTTGTTTGTGGGGTATCCTCATGGACAAAAAGGTTGGCGGTTTTATGATTTGGAATCTGGCGTTTTTTCTGTATCCCGTGATGTTGTGTTTTCTTAGTCAGAATTTCCATATAATACTCCGTCTTCGGCGATTGTGCCATCTCCTTCCCTTGATACTTCACCTGGATTTGATGATGATGAGTTCGATTCTGAGGTGGTGGTTCCTTCTCCTATGTTGCCTTCCCCATTTGCTCCTGTCACTGTTTCTCGGAGTGTAAGAGGTTGTTGGTTCTCCTCATTCGCCTTCTCACGACAAGGGGGGTTCGACTTCTCCCGTGCAACAAGAAAAACTCTTGGGTCGTGGGCATCAGTCCAAGTTTCACTCCACTCGTTTGACAGATTTTCTCTCCAACACTATTGCATTGCCTAACCCCTCTCTCAACTCATCGTCTTCATCAGTTTCCTCTTGTAAGTCCTATCCCATTCAACACGTTGTGAATTATGATTCTTTTTCCTTGCAACATCATGTTTTTTTGGCTAGTTTCACTACAGAAGTAGAACCTCGTACTTTTGCGGAGGCAGTTCAGGATCCTCGCTGGCAGACTTCTATGAAACAGGAGATCGAGGCACTCGAACAGATCAAAACTTGGACTGTTGAACCGATTCCTCTTAGTAAACGAGCTATTAGCTGCAAATGGGTGCTCAAGATCAACCATCGTTCTGGTGGCTTGATAGAACGCTATAAGGCTCATTTGGTAATTCTTGGCAACAACCAAACTGAGGGTCTTGATTATACCGAGACTTTTGCTCCTGTTGCCAAAATGGTGATGGTTCGTACCTTGCTCGCTATTGCGGTTGCTAAGGTCCGGGAACTTCAGATTGATGTTCACAATGCGTTTTTGCATGGTGATTTCATAGAGGAAGTGTTTATGAAGTTGCCTCCTGGTTTCTCTTCTTCCACTCCGGGAACAGCCTGTCGTCTTCGACGATCTCTCTATGGCTTACGTCAGGCTCTTCGGTGTTGGTTTGCCAAACTGGCAAGCACATTGTGCGTATATGGTTTTGAGCAGTCTCATTCAAATAATTCTCTTTTCACCCCACACAAAAACAACGTCCAGTGTGTGTACTTGTGTACGTGGATGTTTTCATCATTTCTGGTAATGATAGTGTTGCAATCTAAACCTCCAAGGCTTCTTTAAGCTGGTGCTTTCATGTGAAGGATCTTGGCATGCTTAAATATTTCTTTGGCATTGAAGTTGCTCGTAATTCTTTCGGCATTTTGCTTTGCTAGCGTAAGTATACTTTGGATATTATTTCCGAAGTTTGTCTCTTAGGAGCAAAGCCTACCAGTTTTCTGATTGAACAGAATCCTCAGCTTCCGCTAGTTTCCGAGTAACCTCTTTCTGATCCAGAACGTTACTGTCGGCTAGTTGGGCGTCTGATTTCTCTTGCTGTCACTCGCCCTGAACTCTCCTGTTATGTGCATATTCGTGCCCAATTTATGCAAAAGATGAGATCAGCTCATTGGGATGCGGCGTTGCGGGTAGTTCGGTATTTAAAAGGTCATCCCAGTCAAAGTCATTTTCTCAGCCCTCTGATTGTAACTTGCAATTGTCTGACTGGTGTGACTCGAATTGGGCTACTTTTCCAATGACTCATCATTCTCTTACTGGCTGGTTTGTTCAATTAGGGTCTTTCCCCATATCTTGGAAGACGAAGAAGCAACCGACTGTTGCTCGGTCTTCTGTTGAGGCTGAATATCGGGCTATGGCCTCCGCTATTTCTGAATTGAAGTGGCTTAAGGGCTTATTGTCTTCTTTGGGAGTCTCTCCCTCTCAGCCTGCGCACCTATTCTGTGATAGCCAGGCTGCTTTTCATATCGCCTCGAATCCAGTTTTTCATGAATGTCCCAAACATATTGGAGTTCATTGTCATTTTGTACGCGATGAAGTTGTTCAAGGCACTATTCTCTCGAGTTATGT